TGCAATTACCAAATAGGCAGAAATGGAGACATAACAATCCAGGCAGAATTATCAGGAGTAAACATGGATATAAGAAAACATAATGTTTAATTCTAATCTAGTTTTATGAAAGCAGTGGTCTTCACATCTACCTGTGCTTTAGAACCAGCTGGAAATGTTTTCTTAGTGAAGTCTGTCAGGCCTACTTCCCAGAGATTCAGAATTGGGAAGTTATAATTTTAAAGACTCCACAGGTGATTCTATTATTCAATCAGGTTTGTAAACTAGGGGACTAGAGTATTTGACAACATCAGAGGAATGGTAAGAAAGGCAAGGTTGACCCAGAGGCTAAGAAGACAACATTTATTTCAGTATGCAGTAAAGGGTCCATAAAGTACTTTGTTAGGATAACACATGTGAAATGAAAAGGGTTAGGAATCAGAAAAGTCATTTTGGGAAATTTTCCAACATATAAGACTAATCAGTGGGGAGAAGTTGGGTGAAGATGGCTTGGAGAGAAAGTAAGGGAAGGACCAGAGGTTGGAGAAGAGTTAGTTAGACAGATGGATGATACATACAGAGAGATAAAGATGTATTTATTTACATATATTATTTGTCATAATGGTGTTGGTGCATGTAAATATCTTACTGAACATGCTTCTCAATTTATATACTTTAATGGCTTATTTCTGCAAAGGATTTTTTATTTCTGATGTGAAAATCTCTAATACAGAGACAGGCATTGAGGTAATCTGGTCAAGAGGGTTTTGACCCAGGCAGGGGCATGGAAAGTCCCCCAAATTACACAGGTAACCATCTACGCTGCTTAGAAAAGGAGTTGCCTATGTTATGAATGAAATTAAGAACTCTAATTTTAGAATAGCCAATTAAAAACCATCCCAAATATAAATTACTGTAGCCACAAGGCAAGCAACTGGATAGCAGGAAAGAACAATAGGTCAGACAACAAAAAGCAAAACTTTCTTGTGCTATTTCTTCTCTTGACAAACAAAATCCACAATGCTCATTGTTAAGTTATTGGGAAATATCTGTTACACTATGATGGAGGTAGGCTGTGATGATACACACCACGTCAAAGAGAACTATGGAAGAAGTCCAAAACTATGGCTGGCACAAAATAGATGCTCAATAAGTATGTGTTAGATAAATTAAGGAGCAGCAGGAAGTAAGTGACATAATATAAGGTAAATCAGGCAAAGAACTGAGTCAAATTTTGAACAAGCCTTTGGGAATGTCTAATAAATACTAATTATCATTTATTTTAGATTTGCTTGGATTCGTGGACACAATGTCAAAGCATTTGTATTTTAATCCCATGAAGAAGATAAATGAATGTGTCATTATAACAATAATGTATTATAAATATCATTTATTATCTTCTATGTGCCCCTAGAAATGTATATATACTTCCCATATATCTGTAAACTGTTCTATAACATAGATATTTTGATCCACAGTTTACAGATGAGAAATTTGAAGTTTTGATGTCTTGGTAATTGTTTTTATTGCATTTAATTTTGGGTTACCTTTTTACTTTTGGAACAAGATAATGGTTTTCCATTTATGGTGTTGATATAAAATTTCTATTTTTTTCCAGATCTATTAAAGTATAGTTGACAAAGAAACTTATAAGCTTTTAAAGTGCACAAGGTGATGATTTTATATATATATACATTGTGAAAGGGCTGCTCCCACATAGTTAATTAACCCATACAACACCTCAGAATTTTTATCTTTCCTTTGTGTATATGTGAGAACATTTAGGTCCTATTCTCTTGACAAATTTCAATTATACAGAACAGTACTATCAACTTAGCTACCATGTTATACATTAGATCCTCAGGCCTTATTTAACTTAGAGCTGAAAATATGTACCCTTTGGCCAACCTCTCCTTATTGCCCATACCTCCCTGGTTCTGGTTCAGGCAACCATTTTCTTCTCTTTTTCTATGAATTGTTTGTTTGTTTGTTTTTGGTCCCACATACAAATGACATCATGCAGGATTTGTCTTTCTCAGTCTGACTCAGCTCACTGCTCTCAAGGTCCATTTGTGTTGTTGCAAGCAGCAGTCTTTCCTTCATTCTCACAGTTGGTAATTATGTACGGGGAGCTCATTTTGAACTGAAGTTCAACACTCTCCACACCTTCATGTCTTTTTAAGTTATCACGGAAGCTTCTCTGCTTGAAGATAGAAAAAAATAGAAATTTCATTAAATAATTCCCCTTGACTACACAGGCAAGACAAGCCTTTCAGACACATACCTAGGAGGAATCACCTCATTCCAGATTCTGAGTCTCACCATTGCAAGGACTGAGATTTCAAGAATTGCTTTGTTCTTGCTTGGGAAGGGGCAGAGACTTCTGAGGAAAATAAGCAAACGAAAAAACAATTTTTTTTGGCCGTGTGTGCAGCTTGCAGGATCTTAGTTCCCCGACCAGGGATTGAACCTTCACTTTTGACAGTGAAAGCGCAGAGTCCCAACCACTGGACTGCCAGGGAATTCCCACAAACAAACAAAATTGACATGAAAAACAAAATATAAACACACACACACTCACAACAATGACGTATTTACTTAAAAAGATTTCACTGAATTCCATATTGAACTAAACACAAAAACCATGCCCTAATGGAGCTAAGTTTATAATGGGGAAGAAAGACAAAAAGAAAAGAAAAATGAGTAAATCTCATAGAATGCCAGAAGGAGATTGTTTGCTATGGTGATAAAATAAACATAAAACAGGATAATGGTGATTATGGGTGAGGAAGGGGATGCAACTTTAAATAGTGTGGTCAAATAGGCCTCCTTGAGAAAACAACATTGGAATAAAGACCTGAAGAAATAAATGAGTGACTCTTGTAAATATCTAGGAAAAGAGAATTCTAGAAAAGAGGAACAAAGTATTTGAGGTCAGCGCAAAGACAGCAGAGTAGCCAAGGGTGAGGGTAGAATAAGATGAAGTTAAAAAGTTAAAAGGGGACCTGACTTGTATGGTGCTCAAGGACTATGGTGTTAAAAATGAAAAAATAAATAAATAAATAAATAAGTGTTTACAGGGACCAAAATGTTCAGATCAATCAGTCATTACATTCTTATCCTCTCTGGAGGCTACTTGGGGGGTCAAAGTATCACCACAGCTTAATTAATGAATAAAGCATCAGGTGAGAAAGTTCCTCAGGTAATGTTGGTGATGTGTTCTCCAGCTACACTGACACATGATTGCCCTCCATGGAGATGCGTCTCCTGTCTCCAAATAGCATGGATGCACCCTAAACAATTCTCTTTATAACTCTGCATCGCAACCCCACTTTTGTGTTAAGTAGACCACCTCTTCTTAACTGAAATTTCCATCACTGATTTTGCCAGCATTTGTACATAGTCCTACAGAAAAACTTTTCACTTATCTTCTTAATTGGAATAATATGTCTCTGGAAACACCTGTATCACTTATTTAATATAACATAGTGGTATTGATAAAATTTGTCTCAAGAAAATGATAATAATAAAATGTTAAATGTGTACAAGGCCCTGGGCTAGTTGTTTAAGTACATGGTTTTACATTATTATTCCAATAAACATATGATATACTAATAAATGATTCTCATTTACAATGAGAAGTTTCAATGATCATGTCTGCACTAAATATTAATATAGTCACAAATAGCTGCCATTTCTTGAGGGAGGACCATTAATTCCCATCTCATTTATGTTGGGCTTGGTCACGTGACTTGGATTGGCAAATTAATATATGTAGAAGATTTAAGAAGCAGTGTATGTACATTTTTCCTTCTTCAACAATGCCAAGTACCCTTTTCCTTCTTCAACAATGATGGCAATCACCCAGATAGAGGATGCTCCATTAACCTGGGTCCCAGTGTGAAGATAATATAAACTGGATCTGTAGCTCACCTTTGCCATGGAATACTAGTGAGAAATAAGCCTGTGACATGGGCCACTGAGACATAGAGAAGTAGGTCCCTTTTTATTATTATTACTGCAACCTAATATAGTCTGTTATGTCTGTTTATTCCACACCCTGAACCTAAATCTTGATGGTCTTTTTAAATATGGATGCAGATTTGACTAATTCACATATATTAATTTTATGGTATCATTAATATCCAAAGTTCTATATAGGTAGTGACAGTTACAGTAAAAAAAATAAGATGTAACCATTAAAAATAGAATTTTGACTTGAAAACTGATTATCTCTAAAGAGAATTTCCAAAAATATTTTTTTTGCATTGGAAGTTTCGTTTGCAATAAATCACAGACTCTCCTGGTGTGACCACTCTAAATAGCAGTCACTTAAATAGAAGTTCTGATATGGTATATAAATAAATAAAGTTATGATGTCACCTTGTGAAACGGTTGCATATCTGCCAATCACTCTGTCCCCAAACTTTTACCTGATATCCAAACAAATACTTAGATAGTCTTTCAAACTATTTATTTGAAACTATTTATTTGAAACTTTATTTTTTTTTGGTCTTCAGAAACACTTCAAAAACACTAGGTATTTAGCCAAAGTTAGATTACATTTAGAAATCTTAGTTCATTATTGACTTATTTCATTATTCATCATTGACCCACTAAGACCAAATATAGAAATTTCAAACTTTTAACACCTGTAGATAATAAATGTTTGACTATCAAGGATCATTACCAAAAAAAGTATAAATTAGTATTCACAGTGACAACTTGATGAAATTAATTACTTCACCTATATTTTTTAATAAACAACTCCTCACTCTAAAAACAAGTCTTTTAAGTAGATTAAGCTTATGCTTTGTTTTCCTCATTCACTTTAAGTTAGTCTGAGAGTTCAGAGACCTAAACATGTTTAACCTTGAAAAAATGTTCTCTTTCACTATAAGATGTCAAATTATCTTTAATGGAGGGAGTCCTGATTTCTTGGTGACATTTTCTATAATGAACAAACTTTTGAGTTTTGCATTTAAATAGCCTGTTTATTTGTCTTGTCTCTTCTAATGTAGGCATCGATTGTGAAGTAAATATAGACGAATGTCTATCAAAGCCCTGTCTCCGTGACGGAACTTGTATTGATGGCATAAATCATTACACCTGTGACTGCAAGAGTGGGTTTTTCGGAGCACACTGTGAAGCAAAGGCAAATGACTGCCTCTCACATCCTCCTCTACATGGCAGGTAGCTATTTTTATTCTTCTATTATTAAATCTAAGAAGGCAAATTTAACTCACGATATTTAAAACTGAATCTCAAGGAAAAGTTGATAAAGGTAATTTTAATTATGCTTTTTCATAAAACAAGAGCTAAGTACAGTTAAGATGACAGAGGCTGCCCGTTTAACTTAATGAAATGCACTGATACATTATCTCTGCCCTTCTTTTATTTCTGCTCATTAGCATAAAGTAATTTTCAATAAATGTGAATTAATTGGACTTTAATAATCTTAAAAGTAATGCTCACAGTAATAGTAGTAACAGGTAGGATGATGAGAGATTCTATTATTTGTTCTGTGGAGGGATAATACCACAAACTTAGTATTTAAAATGTTCCTAAATAGACCAGTTCTTTCATCCCTATTTGCAGATAAGACATTTTGTGAATCTCTTTATAGAGTTGTATAATAACTATTCTGCTCATGGATAGAATATTAGTTTATGCAAATCTAGAGTGGGGATATTTCTAGAAGATGCAGGTGACAAGGAGGGATGACTCGAAGAGGCACACAGCTGCCTTCCTCAGCACCATTTTTCTTTCCTAGTCTTGCCACAGACTTTGTAAGCCAGAGAGGGAGGATGAAGATGGATAGTTCACTACAGTGCCGTTTGGCCCCAGCTGATTTCAGTTTCCTACATAAGCCCTAGACATACTTTTTTATCTTTTCAAGCTGGTTTTTTTTCCTTCCTTTCCATTGCCATGGGGAAGATGGCAAAAATGAGAATTGATTTGTTCTTTCAGTCCAGTCACCTTGAAGGATAAGAAAGTAGAAATAGACTCTGCCTTCTATTGCTCATGGGAATGTGTTTTTTTTTTTCCTGACCTGGAAAAGAAAAAAACATTAAACAGTGAACTCTCTTGAAATTATCTTTTCATTGCCTTACTTATTTAAAAACATAATTCTGTGTTTCAGATGCATAGATTTCATTGATAAGTATCAATGTTCATGCAGTGCAGAATGGACTAGCTCAAGATGTAAGATCAAGATTAATGTAAGTTTTATAATTTTTACTAAATTTAAAGTAATTTAAAAGAAATACAAAACAGTTAGCAGATATGTGGTCCTATCAAAAAATCCATAAGACATTTGGTCCACACCAAAAGTTCCTTGATATTTGGTCCTGTCCAAAACGTTGTGAAATGGGCCAAATATGCTCTTGGACGTATCATGTGGGAAACAAGTTATTTGCTGTAGGTCTCAGAATCATTATTTCAGCACTTACTGATTATTTAAGTGCCTCTCAACTTTCCTTTGGAATTTCTTTTTTGGAATCTTTGCTGGCTCCAAACAAAACTAAAAATCATAGCTCTTTCACCTCCCCCTGCCCCGTCTATTGGTATTGTAAACTTCTGCAATATGGAGTCCTCAATCAACTAAATCCTGGAAGTGACCATTGTCCAAAGAGCTCAGAGGGCTTATGATTTGCCATCTGCCTCCCCCTCTCCGATCTTAGGACACACAGGTGTCTGTGGATGTGTAAGGATGAGGAGATTAAATGGATCCATACACAGCAAGGAGAAAAATAAGTACTGGATGGATGTACCAAGAGATGGGTACATGCAGAGAACCTTGACACCAGCAATGCTCTCAGAATCTGTCTTCTGATCTTCAGGCATAAGACATGATGTGATTGACACATGCTATTTTATGTGGAATGTGTCATCTGCAGAGAAGTTTTGGTTACCTGAAGTTTAAGACCATTCATAGTGGATGAGAATCTCATGTGCCTTCCTGGATAATGGGAAGTTCTTCCAGGTCCTTCCTGGCTGACAATGACATGGTAAAGGAAGGAAGCACAGGCATGAAAGACAGCCTTTGGCATTGTGAGACTATAGATATTTTATTTAAATCCTTCATGTCTCTTTCCTTTATCAGTAAAATACAGTTCTTATACTGCAGGATCATTGTGTGATGATACACATTAAATGTGGTTGATAGTAAATAATGTTTTTGGAGGGAGAAACAGAATTGAACTGCAATTTTCATAGTTACCTTCTGTGTGCTCTAGGACAAATTACTTGCAATCTGAAATCATGTTTTATCTATTCAATGAGGGAAATCATAGGAACTACCTCTTATGTTGTTGTGAGAATTAAATTATATAATGAAGGTAAATCAACTAGCACATATTTTGACACATTTTTGAAAGCCTAATAATTTATTGACATTTTGTGGATTTGATTCTAGATAGTGAAAGCCACACTTGATGTGGAGAAGGAGATGTTGTAATTAATAAATTCCCTGGTAGAAGATGCAGGAGGCATGTATCTTGTCTGCACTGTTGCATGTGTTGCCTGTGATAACCTCCAAAACCCTGTCTCTTGGTAGTGCAAATGTGGTATTTGTCTTCTGAATTAAATATATAAATAAAGAAATATTTTCTTTCTTATATGAATTTGTATATATTCATACCCACACACCCAGTATTATGAGAACAATTGTTTAATGCTACCTATATGCTTCTAGATGGTTTTTCATAATATTTTTATTTTAACATAAAGTTGAACTCATCATACTCCTTATTCAGTGACTTTTGGTTTCACCTAGTGTATCTTAGGGACCATTTCATTATAATACATGGAGTCATGACTCAAACTTTTCAGTAGCTACAAAGTGTTCCAAATAAGTGTTGAGGAACCACACTTATTTAATGAGAGTATGAGCATGCCAGCTTCCCTAGATCCTATCAAATGAAATCATTTTTTAAAAGTGTTGACTAATTTGATGAGGAAAAAGTAGCATGTCATTATTTTGATTTATATTTCACTGGCTTATTATGAAGATTGAACACATTTCCATATGATTATTTGCCACCTGTATTTCTTTGTGTGAGCCTTGTTTACTCACAGCCTTTGACTAACGGTATTTTTCTTTTGACTTGCCTGCCTTTTTTGGTTTTTATATACTATTTAAAATTATGGATAAAATCCACTAGATTCTGCAAAATTACAAATCTTGTCTAGAGTGTGACCCCTCTTTCTTTACAAAACTTGTAAAGTTATGAGATTTTTGTATTTTTCTTTACCTTTTTCTTTATGATACTATGCTTTGCCTCTCTCCTTAGAAGGTCCTTTTATACAGCAATATTTAAATTATTTTCTTATATTCTCATTTATTACAATTTTACGATTAACAACACTTTTAGTCCTTTAATCCATTGTGAATATTTTGTTATAATTGATAAAAAGAAATATAATATTTTTTCAAAAATATAATCAATTTTCCAAGAACTTTTACCAAAGTATCTATTATTTCTGGATTGTTTTGGTATGCCTCATTTTTTTATGCACTAATACCTATATATGGGTCAATTTTAGGACTATTTATTCTGTTTTTCTTCTTTTTTAAATCTTATCCTGCCATCTATATTAATTATTATAGTTCAATAAATTTTTTTAACTGTCGTTTTACTAACACTGTAAGTACATTCCAAATGTACTTTTGGTCATTCGTTCTGTAAATATTAAAAATGTATTATTTATGAAAAGCCAAAATACAGTAATTATCAGATATACCTCCTGCTTCACGAACTCCATCTGGAGATATAGATAAGGGGTATAGATATGTATCTTACTTCGCTCACCTATTTTTTGTAACTTTCTCTATGTTGCAATGCCCAGATTACAGCTTCTTTTTTGTTGTTTTTTTTCTTTTAATTTCTAAATTAACTTTATTGTGGTATAATTTAAATACAACAAAATGGAACCATTTGGAATGTACAGATCAAAGAATTTTGACACATGTATACACTCATGTACCCACTACCACAATCAAGATATATAACATTCTATTACCCTAAAAGACTCTTGTGCCCCTTCCCAGTCAATTTCCAGCCTGCACCCCTGATCCTAGACAATTCCTGAACTGCTTTCTATCACTATAGACTAGATTTACTTTTTCTAGAATTTCATATAAATGAAATAATAAATTATGCATACTTTCATGCCTAGCTTCATCTAAGAGATTCTTCCATGTCATTGAGAATAGCAATAATTAATTCCTTTTAATTGTTGAGAAGGACTATATTGTATAATACATGATCTTGTTTATCCATTCATCAATTGATGCACATTTGCATTGCTTCCAATATGGAACTATTGTGAATAGTTGCTATGAACACTTGTGAACACATTTTTTTGAACATATGTATTCATTTATTTTATACCTAACAAATGAAGAGGAAATAGGCAGTCTACCTGAAAAAGAATTCATAATAATGATAGTAAAGATGATCCAAAATCTTGGAAATAGAACAGACAAAATGCAAGAAACATTTAATAAGGACCTAGAAGAATTAAAGTTGAAACAAACAACAATGAACAACACAATAAATGAAATTAAAAATACTCTAGATGGGATCAATAGCAGAATAACTGAGGTAGAAGAACAGATAAGTGACCTGGAAGATAGAATAGTGGAAATAACTACTGCAGAGAAGAATAAAGAAGAAATAATGAAAAGAACTGAGGACAGTCTCAGAGACCTCTGGGACAACATTAAATGCACCAACAGTCGAATTATAGGGGTTCCAGAAGAAGAAGAGAAAAAGAAAGGGACTGAGAAAATATTTGAAGAGATTATAGTTGAAAACTTCCCTAATATGGGAAAGGAAAGAGTTAATCAAGTCCAGGAAGCACAGAGAGTCCCATACAGGATAAATCCAAGGAGAAACACGCCAAGACACATATTAATCAAACTGTCAGAAATTAAATACAAAGAAAACCTATTAAAAGCAGCAAGGGAAAAACAACAAATAACACACAAGGGAATCCCCATAAGGTTAACAGCTGATCTTTCAGCAGAAACTCTGCAAGCCAGAAGGGTCTGGCAGGACATATTTAAAGTGATGAAGGAGAAAAACCTGCAACCATGATTACTCTACCCAGCAAGGATCTCATTCCGATTTGATGGAGAAATTAAAAACTTTACAGACAAACAAAAGCTGAGAGAGTTCAGCACCACCAAACCAGCTTTACAACAACTGCTAAAGGAACTTTCCTAGGCAAGAAACACAAGAGAAGGAAAAGACCTACAATAACAAACCCAAAACAATTAAGAAAATGGGAATAGGAACATATATATCGATAATTACCTTCAATGTAAATGGACTAAATGCTCCCAACAAAAGACACAGATTGGCTGAATGGATACAAAAACAAGACCCATATATTTACTTTCTACCAGAGACCCACTTCAGACCTAGAGACACATACAGACTGAAAGTAAGGGCATGGAAAAAGATATTTCATGCAAATGGAAAACAGATAACAGCTTCTGAAGGGCATTCATGGATTGATGTTTGAGTCTGTATTTCTAGTCCAAAGAGACAAGAGCAGTGGTGAAACACAGGCAGTACTGATTGAAAAGAACTCTCACATCAATATGTATCTGAAGCTCCTGGGAAAGCGTAAAAACAAAGTTTATGTTAGGGTTTCAGAGGGTAAAACACAAGCAAAAGTTTTTGTTGTCAACCTGATAATTTGAAGCAGGCTTAAAAATGTTAGAATTAATGCTAGAGAAAAGCAAATGCAATATTGGGTATGGAATGGATGCCATGGTTAGTGAAACATGTAGTTCAACTCTGAGTACACAGAAAAGAGAATAGAGTAATATGGAAATCAGGTATTTTCTTTTCTACTTTGTTGGGACTGAGAAGGATAAATACTCTAAGGGAGAAGTGTTTTGTTTTGAATATAAAATTATGTATGTTAAGTACTAAAATGTTAAAAAAAAAAAGATTCTAGAATAAAAAGAGTAATACATTCTCAGATGAAGAAAAACTAAGAACTAATCATGTGTAGAAGGACTAAAGGAAGTTTTCTAAACAAAAAGGAAATGAACAAAGAAAAGAACTGAATGTGTGTGTGTATCTGTATTTCCTCAAGTGTAAGCTGAAATTTATATGGAGCTTTTTATATAGTAAGAATTTTACCTTTTGTCTATCATATACATTATGTACATTTTCTCATTTTTTTGTTAATATTTAATTAC